GTGTTACTGGCAGCCGCATTACAATTTGATCTTCACGGAAGAAGATTTCAGCTTGCAATTTTGTTAGTAAATCTCGCCCCAGGAGAGCTACGGGGCAGGCAGGGGAAACTACAAAGGCATGCTCCAACATGTTATTCCCAATTTTCGTGAGGAGGGGCTTACACACAGGCAATCTGGTTCGTCTTTCCTCTATACCTTCTACAGTCACATGCTTTCCGCTTTCTTTAGCTAGGGGGGGTTTCACGGGAATCATAGAAAAGGTGGCTCCAGTATCCACCAGCGCCTCATAGTCTCTGCCACCGACCCTTATTTTCACCATGGGATCCTTCCGAGCGCTCGCCCGTAAGGTGATGGCCTTGGATCCCAGTGTCCTTCAGCTAGAATCTTCCCCTGAGGATTCCGCCCGCATCTGGCGACCCCCCTGCTGAGTTTCCCTCTGTTTGTCTTTCAGCTTAGGACAATCCTTCTTCCAGTGTCTCTTCTCTCGACAATATGCACATTCGTCAGGCTTAGGTCGGCCTTTTCCTTTCTTTTGCCCCCCCTCAGGTTTCTCCTTCCATCCCCCACCGGTATTTGTGTTTTTGGCCAAGGCAGCTGCCAGCATTGCCATCTGTTTTTGCCCACGCTTTTTTCTGTCCACGCTTTTCCTCTCTCCTCTCTGCCACCTGATCACGATTCCCATAAACTTTATATGCAATCTCTACGAGTTCTGAAAGCGGTTTACCCGCTGCCCCCTCGGTCTTTTGCAGCTTTTTCCTTATATCTGGGACTGCCTGCCCAATAAACATCAGATTCACCATGCGCTGATTTTCTGGGGCCTCAGGGTTCAAGTCACTAAATTTCTTAAAGGCATCGAACAAACGTTCCAGGAAAACCGAGGGAGATTCATCCTTCCCCTGGCGGACTTCGTACAATTTAGAGAGATTAGTCATCCGTGGCACTGCCTTGCCCAGAGCTTCCACTATAATTCCTAAATAATTATGATTACGCTGTCTCCCGTCTGCTGAACTGTTATCCCAATCGAGACTCTCAATGGGGCATATGTCCCATATATTTCCTCCTGCTCCTTCTAGATGCTCTTCGGCTATTCGATCCACCGTTCCCAGTACTAAGCGCCTTTCCTCTGATGCTGAACTGTTATCCCAATCGAGACTCTCAATGGGGCATATGTCCCATATATTTCCTCCTGCTCCTTCTAGATGCTCTTCGGCTATTCGATCCACCGTTCCCAGTACTAAGCGCCTTTCCTCTGAAGTCAGAAGGGTATGCAACATCATCTGAACATCAGCCCAGGTGGGGCGGTGAGTCTGCCCTACTGACCGAAACAAGTTTTGCATTTTCTCGGGATCCTCTCTGAAAGAGGGATTCTGATTTTTCCAATTGAACAAATCTGACGTATTGAAAGGCACATAAACAAAGGAGGTGTCCCTTTCCCCTATCAATACCTCTCTCATGGGACACTGATAGTTGGGGGCCGGGTTACGGGTTAAACGAGGGGGTCTATCTGATGCCCATCCATTCCAGAGTGGTGAACACCATGCTGGGGGCAGTGGGGGCCATCCGCCTGGTGGCTAGGGCCGAGCCGGGTCGGGCTCTTGCGGGGGGGGGTCCCCTTTCCCTTCACGTTCAAATGGGG